ACCCCTGTATCTATGATTACTCAATCTCTCCCATTATGACTAATACCACCATACCCCTGTATCTATGATTACTCAATCTCTCCCATTATGACTAATACCACCATACCCCTGTATCTATGATTAATCAATCTCTCCCATTATGACTAATACCACCATACTCCTGTATCTATGATTAATCAATCTCTCCCATTATGACTAATACCACCATACCCCTGTATCTATGATTAATCAATCTCTCCCATTATGACTAATACCACCATACTCCTGTATCTATGATTAATCAATCTCTCCCATTATGACTAATACCACCATACTCCTGTATCTATGATTAATCAATCTCTCCCATTATGACTAATACCACCATACTCCTGTATCTTGAATTATGTAAAAGTGTGTGTTTACAGAGAAGCAATTTGTATTCTGTTGACCCTTTTAACCAACAGAATTTCAGTGGGGAAAAAAAGGGGGGTTGCAAAACTTCAAAAAATATTTATTATAAATGTGACGATAGTAAAACGCAAAGTTGTTTTCTTACTGTTTCATACAAAATATTCCGGATTAAAAAAAAAGAGAGATATAACTACAAAAATTTTACTAAAACTAATAACATGAACTATAAAAAAGAATACCAAGAAATCGTTTTCACGAAGGAGTTTGTATTTGGATATTGATATGTGGATAAGAACTTTAATGGAAACTCTACGTTTATTGTTCGCTGTAAGCTAAAGAACTTATATAAGCTAAGGCACTAGAGAATAGTATAAGCTAAGACGCTACACAATAGTATAAGCTAAGACGCGACACAATAGTATAAGCTAAGACACTACAGAATAGTATAAGCTAAGACGCTACAGAATAGTATAAGCTAAGACGCGACAGAATAGTATAAGGTAAGACGCTACAGAATAGTATAAGGTAAGACGCTACAGAATAGTATAAGGTAAGACGCTACAGAATAGTATAAGCTAAGACACTACAGAATAGTATAAGCTAAGACACTACAGAATAGTATAAGCTAAGACACTACAGAATAGTATAAGCTAAGGCACTACAGAATAGTATAAGCTAAGACGCTACAGAATAGTATAAGCTAAGACACTACAGAATAGTATAAGCTAAGGCACTACAGAATAGTATAAGGTAAGACGCTACAGAATAGTATAAGCTAAGACACTACAGAATAGTATATGCTAAGACGCTACAGAATAGTATAAGCTAAGACGCTACAGAATAGTATAAGCTAAGACACTACAGAATAATATAAGCTAGGGTACTACAAATTCACAACTAGGACGTATATTGTTTGAGAAAAACATACCCCATTTAAAAATTGTTTTTCTGTCACCTATTAAGGAAATGCTGGGTGTCATATGTTTTTTTACGAATATTTCAATACCGAACGACATCCCGCAAACAGTTTGAATCAAAATAACGATTTATTTTATATGATAATTAAGAAGCAAATACTTAAAAGTTCTCTAATAAAAAGATGGGTATCAACAAATTAAAACTCGGGTCTGATCTTCATCTCTGAACTTCTGAGGTAAAAATGGGAGGAATTCCTGAAACGATACCAAGCTATTCCAGTATAGCTTTTGTTCGAGGCTTTTTCATCAGGCTGGTAAAGGCCGTTTAAGTTACTATTTAAACATCTTTTAAACCACCAACCACCCCCGTACTTTTCAGCACAGTTATGAGAATGTTGTTGGTCATTGTCCTTGTCTTTTGTGGAGAAAAAGAACCCACTATGGTAGGACAGAGAGTCTCCTATAAACATTTTAAAGCAACATTCTGTTAATATCTGTTCACCGCTAATGTAGATAATATTGTTATATTCTGTTAATATCTGTTCACCACTAATGTAGATAATATTGTTACATTCTGTTAATATCTATTCACCACTAATGTAGATAATATTGTTACATTCTGTTAATATTTATTAACCACCAAGGTAGATAATATTGTTACATTCTTTTAATATTTATTAACCACCAAGGTAGATAACATTGTTTAAAAATGTTTATACCATTTTTCACAATCATTAGTTTTAACGATTATTGAATAAAAAACAATAAAATACTCACATCCTGATCCACCCTTACTAAAAGTACATTTTCAGATGTCACAAACCTTCGACTGTGTGTGGCTTGGTTTGTCTTGAATTTCACACAAAGCTATACGAGGGCTATTTGCATTAGCCGTCCCTAATTTAGCAGTGAAAGACTACAGGGAAGACAGCTAGTCATCACCACCAACTCTTGGGCTACTCTTTTACCAGCGAATAGTGGGATTAACCGTCACATTATAACGCTCCCACGCTTGAAAAGGCGAGCATGCTTGGTGGGACGGGGATTCGAACCCGCGGATTACGAGTCAAGTGCCCTAACCACGATTGGGTATGAGCAAGCTCTCTTCTGTTCACCATTGGCTCTTGCTAATATCTTAAACCAATCAGAATGAAAACGCCATGAGAGAAAGTGACGAACAACTCTAAGGATTACTCTCGTCTGACGGAATAACGGAATATAACTGTCACTCCTATAGCGCACCAACGACCCCAAAGTGCGGTTCGCGTTTTCATTTTAAAAACAACTACCTTACGTAATCATAAATGAGTAGTATCGCGCATGCGTAAGATACCTACGAACACATTGCGAAGAGGTGAAGATATTAACTTATTGATTTTTAACAAGACGAACGTAAATAATAAGGTATAACAAGCTTCATATATCAGTCAGTTTTCAGCTTGAATTGACAAAGTAAACGTGTATATTTATCGTAAAGTTCTTTAACAAATATTTAATAAAATGTTGATCAAAATCGTTAAATTTTCATTTTGCAACTGGTTGGTCTAACGTTACTTGGAAAATATTCAAATTTAGTCATTACGCAAACAACACTATCTGAGCGTTTGTGGAACACTATTTGATTGGAATTAAAAGAAGCATTACTTACTTTACGTAAGAGGAGGAAGCCTATAAGTACAGAATAGATAATTGTTTGTAACAAACTGGTATCGATAATATCACTTATAACTTCTGTAGATCTAAATACGAACATTGTTCATTTGAAATAAATGTGCTGTGAATGTAACTTTCAAGAGGTTATAGAACTACACTGCCCTCTAGGAGTTTCAGTCTGCATCGGTTATGGGCGGCCCTATTTTATTGGAATTAATATCAACAGCCCTTTTTCTGTATGAGAACCGTGTAGAAATATGTCTATGGTTTGTCATGGATACACCTGCAGGTTAAATGACGTTTATCTGGTAATAAGATATTTTGTTGTTGTCTATGTAATCCATCACTATGTTGTTGTATATGTAATCCACCACTGTGTTGCTGTATATGTAATCCACCACTGTGTTGCTGTATATGTAATCCACCACTG